AAATTTTAATTTCTTTAGAATTTTTTTAATCCCCTCTTCTTCTATTCTCTTCTGTAATAACACTCAAAGATTAATTCTTTGTTTTTGTAAACTATTTCTTCGGATTTTTTAAATTACTGGTCTTATACCGTAACAGTCTTTTTATAGCTGACTTAGGTCACTCAACATCATTTGTTCTAATTTTATCCATGTTGTGTCGTATTTTGTTAATTCTTAATTTTGTTTTAATAATGCATAGTTTTCCGTTGTATGAGTGGACCACAGTCTCTTCAGCATTTTGTTTGTAGCCATTCATTTCTTCAGCCATTCTTGAAGAGCTTTTAGAAATAGCTGATGGTGATGGTTGCACAATATGGTGAATGTTATCTTCAGTACCAAACTTCCCTAAGATTGTAAGATTAGAAATAGATGGTGCCTCGTTACCATTGCTAATCCCTCTAAAAGGGAGGTTCTGGAGAAAAATATGGAAAAAAAATATGGAACAAATTTCAAAATAATAAAAAGTCCAAATTTACTCATAGAGAGTGGTGACCCCCTTGCAACTAAGACACTTAATTATCTTTTATTCTTGGAGCTGAAACTACCCCTGTCACTTTCAGCAAAATAGATAGTCTATTGTTGTTGATAGTTGTCATCAAGTCAATGAAGACTTTCAGATGCATAGAAGTGACTGACAAAATTATGGCATAGATCAGTCACTCCAGCGTCTTTAAACTGACTTTCTTTCTTTCCCACGTTTGGAGAGATCCTTGACAGCTCTTTCAGACATCTTTTCTTATAAGATAATCAGTGACACCAGGATTGAATGCATGCACTCCCTAGGACAGTCAGTTACAGAAGATCAGTGGGCAGCACATTCCCAGGGATACAGCTCAGACGACAGGAACAGAAGGGAGAAGGATGAATGGAAATGGTCAACACAGGGAGGAAGTGAATAAATTGCTGTTACATTGTGGGGATTACAGTCAACATCACAAAACAGGATGTGTATTGATTGTTAAATGAAGATGTGTATTGATTGTTAAATAGAAAGAAAATTTACTCAATAAACTTTCACCCAAATCATAATAAAAGCTTGAAACAAAAGAAGAAAACCAAGATAGCTAATTTGTGTATATATTTTATTACAGTGAAATAAGACATATATTAATTCTGAAATCACGTACATGTGTTTTGTGTTCAGTAGCAGAGTGGAGTATGGGTTGGAAAAATCTAATAGAATTTAATTGCATTGCAAAATAAAATTGCAGCACCTAGGACAACATTTAAGAATTTACCAGAAGATTGATTAGAACTATAGGTATTGGAATACATATTCTCAAACTCAAAACAAATATAGACATTTCCAAGAAATATGACTAAGTAAACATATACCTTTATTGTTTCACTTCCAGAAAAGTCACTAGGGCTCCTAGTTTCTGTAATGACACAATTAATACAGTAGTGGCAGAAGCCAGGTATGTCTAATTCTATACTTACTCCAAGGCCAAAAGCTTTTAAGGTTCTAACACCTTTCTTGCTCTTGAAGTTTCTTGTTTCTCCTTGTCATTTTTATCATGTGCATCTGCTGGTGTTCAATAATTTTTTTAAAAATTACTTAAAGAGAAACTGAAACCATCTACTTTGTCAAGATGGAGGTGCATTAAAAGATTCATTTCTTTGTTGCAGATAAAGGAAGACCTAGGTCTAGAAAAGTAACAGAAAGTGGAAGAGGGAAACGATATTCTTACAAATTGCCTCAAGAGTACAACATAGAGACTGTAGTGGTTGCAGACCCAGCAGTGGTTTCCTATCATGGAGCAGATGCAGCCAGGAGATTCATTCTAACCATCTTAAATATGGTAGGCAAACTTTAACGTGTGCTTGGATTTTTTTTCAAGAAAACTCTAAGGAAGAACTGTGTGAGTATTTATAATGATGTTCTTAAAAAGAAAAACCAAAACAAAACACCTCATTCCTGTTCGTGTGCTTTTTGTCACCATTAAAAAAAAACAACCAAAAAACAACTTTGTTGTTGTTATGTTCTGTGGAGTCAGAACCAATTCATAGCTTACCGTCCAGAAGATTTCCAGAGGCAGTAAATTGCGCAGGCGGAGGTTGCCCGTCCTTCTGCAGGGCACAGCTGTTGTAGTTGAATCACATGCCTTTGGGTTGGTGGAACAGCGCCTTACCTCTAGGCCACAAGAGCTCCCTTCTTTAAAAATTATCTCACTTCTATATCTTTTCTTTTTTGCCATCAGTAAAAATACTTTAGGTATACTCAATTATTCCATCTCTGAAATGAAAAAAAAATTTGTTTTTTTTAATAAAATCTGTCAGTATCCACCTTTATGTGGCAAAATTCATTCTATATTTTATGGTGTGCTGTTTTTTTTTCTCATTTTTTTAAGCTTTTTAAATTTTTTTCCCTTTTTATAGATTTTAATAAAAATTTATAAAGAACTTGGATTTCCTTTCATTCATTGTTGCACATTTTCCTCCGCTCAGTTTGCTTTTTTCTTTGGAAAAAGGTTCTTCCATTGTTATACAGTCTCCCTGCCCCAGACCATTTTACTATTCAACTCTTACTCTTGTCATGCCAATAATACCTGATCATATATTCCTTTTATATACAATTCTCTTCCTCATTTGTTTCAATGCCATGTACATTATATATTTGTGTATGTGTTCTCCTTTTCCATTAGTTTTTAAAAGAACATATATTTAAATTAGCAAAAATGCTATATTTACACTTTATATGGCATCACAAGAATTATTGGTAACAAAATATAAATGGAACAATAATGAAACCTGATTAATATTAATCTAGAGATATTTGTATATAAAATAGACTGTCAGACTGATTCTAGCTGAAAAGTAAACTTGGCTGGCTGTTGGCTAAATTTTAACCAGTTAAATCACATGTAGATAGCTATAGAAGATAATGTATAGATTGGAGAAACTGAGTTTGTTCTTAAAGATGCTCACTACCAGATGAATCCTTTGATTTAATTACATACTGTTCAGTAAATCATTCTTTTTTCAAAACAAGTGAATCAGTCTCTTTCAAAACCTAGTGACATGAAGCTGTACTGCAATCTCAAAGGCACATGATTCAAACCCACCAGCTGCTCCATGGGAGAAGGGCGGACAGTCTTCTCCCATATGATTTACAGACTTTGAAAACCCATTGGAAGGCCAGCAGTGAGTCAGTTCCTACTTGACAGTACAACACAAAATAAGATTAGTTAAATAATGTTGTTGTTGTTGTTGTTACGTGCTGTCGAGTCGCTTGCAACTAAACTCTGTTCTGTCCTGTGCCAGTTGCACTGTCTCTGACACTCCAATCCCGATTATCCCAGTCACTGAATCAATTCACCTCCTAGAGGGCCTTCCTCTCCTGCGCTGTCCCTCCACCCTCCCAAGCATGATGTCCCCCTCCAAGGACAAGTCTTCTTACAACATGTCCAAAGTATGTTAGACGGAGCCTCAGAATCCTTGCCTCCAAGGAGCCACCCGGTTTAACCCTCTTCAGGATGAATCTGTTTCTTTTCCTAGCAGTCCATGGTACCCTCAATACTTGTCTCCGGCACCACAGCTCAAAGGCATCAATTCTCTTTCTATCCTCCTTAGGCCAACTCTCTGATGCATAACAAGTGATAGCAAAGACCATGGCCTGTATCTGACGCACCTTAGTCTCCAGAGAGACACCATTGCTCTTCAGTGCTTTGGAGAGGTCCCTATCAGCAGACTTTCCCATGGCAATGCACTTTTTAATTTCCTGGCTACTGGTGCCAAGAGTGTTGACAATGGAGCAAAGCAAACTAAAGGTGTGTACAATCTCAATCTCTTCACCATCCACCCTGATGCTGTCAGTCAGTCCAGTGGTGAAAATCTTTGTCTTTTTGACATTGAGCCTCAATCCATATTGGAGGCTGCAGTCCTTGACCTTCCAAAGGCAATTATACTTTCATGTGTTCAGTTACCAGTTAAAGAAGAATATGAGTTATAGATAAAAAGGATAGGCATATTGTTGTGCAGTGTGCCATCTAGTCAGAATTAATTCATCACTGACCTCCCGGCAATTCTTCAGAGGCTGTAAATCAATTGGGAGGAGATGGCCTCTCTCTCTTCAGTGGAGTAGTTGATGGATCCGAACCATGCTCCTTAGGTTTGGCAGCCCAACTTCTTACTACTAGGCCATCAGAACTCTCTCTAAGCATTTTAAAATTCTTATTTTTGTTATTATTTGGCTATCATTTAGTTCTTTTTATAGTGAACAGAATTCTAACACTTTAGTAATTTTTCTTCAATAAATATTTCATTACATTTTTAAGAGCTTAATGACTTTTTTATCACTGAAATAATAGATATGATGTGCTGTGTACCTATTTAATTTTCCACAGAAATAAAATAAATAAGAAGTTTTTGAAAAGCTAACATGCCACATAAAGTATTTAACTTTATTTTCAGTATTGCCACATATAGCACATTTTGGGGAAAATTAGGTATATAACAATCTAAAACTGTTAAGAAATAATCACCTGTGATCTTGGTTTCATGGTCGGCATTGAAGAGTAGAGTTTCGTAAACACTTTTCTACTTTGCAACTGGTCTTAAGAGATATAAAAAGAACCCTAAGGTATGAATTAGGAGTTGAAAGCAACCTAAGATTGGAGAATTGTTTCTCAAAAGAAAGGTATATGTTGTGTTTTTGTAGGTTCAACAAAAAGTCTGGAACTTTGTTATTAAAACATTCTGTAGGTAACATTGTAGATGATCCAACCTCCTCTCTCTAGCCACCTAAACTATATCAATAATATTTTACGGAATACTAGAGTCTTCTTAATATCTGAAGTGAATGACTTAAACTATTACTGATTGTAAGAAATTGTTAAAAGTTTAAAATTATTTCCAGAATTTGACAAAATGAAGACTTCTTTTCTGTTTGGGCTTTAAGAAAAATCTAAATATTTTTATTTTTACATTTTATTTTAGAATATTTACTTACTCATTTTTTTTTTAGGTCTTTAACCTTTTTCAACATAAGAGTCTTGGTGTGCAAGTCAATCTTCGTGTGATAAAGCTTATTTTGCTCCATGAAACACCAGTAAGAAAGTCTTAAGATTTTTATTTTGTTAAGTGGATAAGAAACTATGTTAAAGTGTTTTCAAAAAAGAACCTATTAGAGAGATGATTTTCAATGACAAAATCAGATATATCCACTGAGTAATTAAAACTCTATTAAAAAAAACAAACCACAATTGACCTTCGGTTTGGCAGATACATCAATTTTTCTCTTCCCCCAAGAATCCTAACAAGAAATTTAAAGTTTCCTAAGTATTTTAAAACATTGGTTTTTATAAATAGTTAACTTTTCTAGCAATATATATTCTGTTAAAATCTATTGTCATCTGTAATTTAATTTAAACAGAATATTGTGTAACACCAGTTTGGCATGCTGTTTAGCTGATAACTTAAAAAACCAAACAAACATTTTTCCTAAGTTGTAGAACTAATGATCTTTGTCAATCTGCAATTCCCCATTCTTAGTGTTCTATTATGTCTTTTTTTCCCCTTAACAAAATTCCACGATACACAGTCTATAGTTACTGAAACTTTAAGATTTTTAGCTCCAGTCTTTGGGTCAATTGTGAGAAATTGTGACCATATGAGACAGAGTAGACCTACCTCAGAGGATTTCCAAAGCTGTGGTCTTCATTGAGCAGACTGCCACATCTTTCTCCTACAGGCAGCTGGTGGGTTTGTGTTGTTAGTTTTGGTTTGAAACTTACCACTTAACCACTGCATCAGCAAATATCCTGGTTTTGACACAGTCTAAGTTAATCTTTCATGTCTTCAAGCTCTAATTAATGTCATGATCAATAGTTTATTAATTCAAGAACTTCCCTTGGATTTCATTTATTTTTATACATCTGAAAAGAATTTTCCTTAAGAAGAGAATGCCTTTTATTTTTCCCAGTCAGGTCTATATATTGGACACCATGGAGAGAAAATGCTAGAAAGTTTTTGTAAGTGGCAACATGAAGAATTTGGCAAAAAGAATGATGTACATTTAGAGATGTCAACAAGCTGGGGAGAAGATATGACTTCCGTGGATGCAGCGATACTTATTACAAGGTACATTTTCTAAAACAAAATAAATGTTTCTAATTTGATAGCAGTTCTGTTTTTCCATTTATTCTTTGATATGCTTTTATTCTCAATTTCATATTTAATGTTTGTTATAATAATGTTAGATATCTCCCTTAATTCCTAATAACAGATTTTTGAACAATCATCTCGTATATATGAAACAGACAAAGATGGTTTCTTTTAAAGTTCTTCTTGTTTTTATGATGAATAACTTGTTCTTTTGTGTACCGTTAAGTCAGAAGTGACCCGTAGCTGATACTACAGCAGGTTTTCAGAGACAGTTAATCGAACAGGAAGAGATTGTCCATCCTTCTCCTGTGGAGCAGCTGGTGACTTCAAACCCCATGCCTTTGGAATTGCAGTGCCTTCTTGACACTAGGCTACTCATTATGAAATGCTGAATCCAAAATCTAGTAGAACAGTGGTGCTATTTATGCAGCAAGACAACAAAATATAATAAAAAATAAATCTTATTAATGAATAATTATTATTGAACTCTCAAGGATGTTTTTCTTGATTTGAGAAAGATTATCTTTAAAAAATCAATACTGAATATCATACTTAAATGGTCAATAATTAAATGCTTTCTCTTTAAAACTGATGAAAGACAAGACTGCCTACTCTTATCACTTTTATTGATATGGAGCCAAAGCTCATAATCAGTACAATACGGTAAGAGAAGAAAAAGAACTATAAAAAGCTTTGAGGAATAACAAAGTTTATGAAGGACTGGAATGGAAAACCAAATGCATAAAATGATTAATGAAACCAGAATTTCAAGTGGATTCTCATCATATATTTGCTGATGACACACAATTTTCTTTTCAGGAATGGTGAACAGGAAAGAACTATAAATTATTGTATTCCTCTGGATATAAAGAAGAAGTCTAAAAGTGTGCTTTTATAAGTTTAACATGCAAATGGCCACCAGAGACAGAACTGCTACAGAAGCAGAATATTTATTTAAGAGCATCTGCTGCAGGACACAAGGTTTCTGAGTTCAGTGGATCATCTATCTCCTCACTCTTCACCCCCCCATGCTCCAAAGTTTTATATCTTGAGAGGAATCTGCCATCTGTCTAAGAATCATGGGAAGGATTTATTTCATTTATAGGACATTTCAATTATCTTTCCTGTTTCATTTGGGAACTCTTCTGAAAGTTTAAAAATATTCCACCTGAGTTAATTATCATAGGTATGAATTTGTGCATTGTAAGGTAAAAGGCTTCCCTTCTTGTTTTTGGAATTAGCAGTGTAGATATGTTGTTTCGTTTAGGTTTTTATTTGAAAACTATAACAACAAAACTGGTGCTAGAGTTTATAACTGGAGCAAATCATTAGAGAAGACACAGCCCTTGGTTAATAGCACAACTCCCTATGGACTAGGCCACAAGTATTCACTGATAAAATAGATAAACGGAACCTTCTAAAAATAAAATCCTTAGGTACATCTAAAAACTTCACCAGCAATAAAATGGACACCCCAAGACTGGAAACAAAATGTTTGGCAATAACATGTCTAATAAGAGACTCATGTTTAAAATTTATGAATTCTGCAATGCATCAACAAGGAAAAGAGCAACAACCCAATCACAAAATGAGAAGGGGATATGAACAGAAACTTCACCAAAGAAGGAATTCAAATGGCCAAGAAACACATAGAAAAAAGAAATTTCCAAAATCACTAGTTATTGTTGTTATGTGCCATTGAATCACTTGCCATTCAAAGTAACCCTATGCACAATAGCTCTGAACCCTCTGTCCTATCCTGAGTCAATCTCACTGTCTCTGACAAACTTGTCCCCATTACCCCATTTACCGTGTCAGTCTATCTCCTTCACAATCTTCCTTTCTTGCCCTGCCCTTCCATCTTCCCAAGTATGATTTCCTTCTCCAAAGAGTGGTCCTTCTTGGCAACATGATGGGTGAGAGCTTCAAAATCCTTGCCTCCAATGAACAACTTGCTTTCAACCTCTCCAGGACAAAACTTTTTTTTCTCTTGGCAGTGCATCTATGTTTAAAAACGCTCTTCTCCAATGAATGAATGGACAAAATCTTTGTAAATTTTCATTGAGATTAATTTAAAAAAATAAAAAAGAAAGACAAAAGAAGCTCTTCTCTAGCACCACAATTCAAAGGCATGGATTCTTCTGTGATCCTTGATGTAGTTCTCTGATACATAGCAAGAATTTGCGAATATCATGGCCTGGATCAGGTGTACCTTAGTCTCTAGACTGATATTGTTGCTCTTTAGCACTTTGGAGAGGTCCGTGGCAGCAGACTTCCCAAGTGAAATTAGTCTTCGTTTCCTGACTAATGGTGCCAAGACTGTTGATTGTGGAACCAAGCAAGCTGAAATTGTTAACAATTTCAGTGTCTGCTCCATCCATCATGCTGCTGCAAATCGGCCCAGTGGTGATAGTCTTTGTCTTCTTGATGTTGAGTTTCAATCCATGTTGAAGACTGTAATCCAGTCCTTGACCTTTTGTTGTTGTTGTCCTCTTCAGTTTTGGAAAATGAAGTTGTGTCATCTGCATAACATAAGCTGTTGATGACCCTTCTCTTAATCCTGATGCCACATTTCTCATCATAAAGACCAGCCTCCTGAATATATGCAGAACACTGCATATAGATTGAAAAGATACGGAGAGAGGGTGCATCCCTGACAGACTCTTTTCCTAATTTTGAACCATGCAGTGTTTCCTGACAACTACTCCCTGATTTGGTGTAGATTTCACGTGAGCACAATTAAGTGTTCTGGTATTCATTCTTCTCAGTGTTAGCTGCAATTTGTTATGATCCACACACTCAAATATGTCTTTGCATAGTCAGTCTATGAAACACAAATAGACATTCCTCTTGTACTCTCTGCTTTCAGCCTGACATTGGATATGATGCCCCTATGGCCACAGTCTCTTCTAAACCCAGCTTGTATTTCTGGTAATTTTCTGTCAATGTATTCTTCTAGTTATTTTTGGATAATCTTCTGCAGAATTTTGTCTGTGTATGGTATTAGTGATGTTGTTGTTGTTGATTGCCGTTGAGTTAAGCACGACTCAATACAAAAGGCTTGAAGCCTTTCTATAACTATCATCATTTATCAAATTCATAGAGTTTCCAGAGGCATGTTATTTCGGAAGTGGATGCCTCTCCTACTTCCATGCCATTTGGGAATTTACACGCTCTGTCTGATTCCCTTTTTTTTGTAAAGGACATAACCCTTTATGATATGATCTCACCCCAGCAATAATAGTAAAGTTCAACAGGGCAGCAAACAAGAAATCCTAGAGAGGATGTGGAGACTTCAGAACTCTTATTTACTGCTGGTGGGAAGGTAAAATGGTGTAATAACTATAAGAGGCAGTTAGATATTACCTCAAAAAGGTGAAAATAGAAATACCATTTGACTCAGCTGTCCTACTTTTGGAAATATAGTCCATAGAATTCATTCATAGCTGTTACACAAACAGATGTATGCATATCCATCTTTATTGCAGTATTATTCACAAAACCAAGGAGATGGAAGCAACTCAAGTTGAACCTATGAACAACTGAAAGAATAAAGAAACTGTTGTACATCCACAAAAAGAAATACTATGCAGCACTTGAAAAACAATGGTAAAATATAATACAACACAAATGAGTCTCAAAGACATTATGCTAAGTGAAATATCTCAGTCACACTGCGAGGATAAATACTTCATAAGATCACTTTTGTAACACCAGGATAGGTACAGTGCAAGGATAAACTGAATAGATAATAAATACTGCACTAGCAGATTTTCAGAGGCAGTTAATTGCACAGGAGGAGATTACCCCATCCTTCTGCCCTGGAAGGCCTGGTGACCTTGCCACTTGCCTTTGGGATTGCAGCACAGCTTCTTGCCACTAGGCCACCAGAGCTCCCTAGAATAGGTAAAGGGGAGGATAATCTTAAAGGAATGGATGATTAGACATTATATGTATAACCATTAACAAGGCAAGCATTTCAAAATGAATTAGAGGGCTAAGGAGAAAAATGTGTATGAATAACCAATTTCTTTGTAAACTTTCCCTAAAATCACGATAAAAAAAATAATAATACATTTTGTAAATGAGGGGCAAATAAAATTGTTGGTAATATGAACATAAAGGTAATGACATTCTTAACTTTGCAAGGAACTTGTGAAATAAACTAATAAACATTGTTCATTGCCATGGATTTCTCTCCACTGGACCAATGGGCAACATCATGATAGATGAAGAAATGATGGAATCTGTCAAGGACTTCATTTTAACTTGGATCTACAATTAGTACTCTTGATACCAGCAGTTAGGAGATCAGGAGACATCTTGCATTGAGAAATTCTACAGTCAGGGACCTCTCCAAATTTTGAAACTCTTAAACACTGTTGGTTGGATTGTAAGATGCTACAACCACTTAGGAAGGCAGTTTGGCATTTTCTCAAAAAGCAGAACATAGAAATATATTGTTGTTGAGTACCTTTGAGTTGGAACCCACCCATAGCTGACTCTCTGTTGGGTTTTCAGAGGCAGTAAATCACATGGGAGGAGATTTCCCATCCTTCTCCCGTGGAGCACCTCTTGGATTAGAACTGTGTTTCTTTGGGATTGCAGTGTAATTTCTTACCACTAGGCCACCAAACCTCTCAGAAATATAACCTCACAGTTCCACTCTTAGGAGTATACCTCAAGAAAAATAACTGAGACACAAATGGATACTTGTATGCTAATATTCATAGCAGCAGCATATTCACAACAGCAAAGAAATAGGAACAGCCCAAATGTCCATCAGCAAACAAATGGATGAATAATTGTAGTGCATTCATACAATGGAATACTATGTAGCACTCAGGAGCAATAATTTAGAAGAATACTGTATAACATGGGAGAGGCTGGAGAGCATTATAAGCTGAGTGAACTAATACAGTTTCATAAAGACAAATATTGCATTAAGACTATAATTGTAAAAATAGAAGGATAAT